AGCTGAGCATCCTGGACTACAAAGCAATAGATTTCTTGCTTCTGCCACAAATTCCCCCAGCTGTAAGCCTTCCAGCCTTCTAAATATTCCTTTATATGTGGTTCAGAGTTCTGGGAACATCCCCTGAGCCTGCTTGGTCAGGTATTCTGTGTTGTTGTTGGCAGAGCTCTTCACAGCACTTCCACCCGATCCACCATCTTGTTTGTTCTGTATCATTGGTTCTTGATTATATGTTATTGTTGTTAAGTACCGTCAAGTCGATTTTGATTCATAGTGACTCTGAATAGGGTTTCCAGGGAACAGCTGGTGGTATTGAACCACTGACCTTGATCTTAGCAGTCCAGTGCTTATCCTACACCACCACACCTCGACTACCTCCATAATTGATTGAATGTTGAACAATTCTTTTTAATACAGTGACTCTATATTCCTTCCATCTTCTTTTGATACTTGCTGTGCTGTTCAATATTTTGACCATAGACTCCTTTAATATTCCAACTGGAGACTTGAATTTTTTCGTCAGTTCTTTCAGTTTGAAAAATGTTCTTCCCTTCTAGTTTTCTAACTCCAGTTCTTTGAACGTTTCGTTATACTTCTTTGTCTTCTTGAGTTTCCTTATGAAGTCTGCTGTTCAGCTCTTTTACTTCCTCATTTCTTCTATTCACTTTAGCTACCCTATAGAGTTCTGGTGTGGTGCTGTAAGATAAGCACTGGATTGCTAACCACACTCTTATTAGTTCAAACCCACCAGCCTCCCCTTGGAAACATTTTGTAGGAGGATCTTTATGAGTCAGAATAGCCTCAATGGCACTTAACAACAACAGCAACAACCCTATGTTTACGAGTAAGTTTTAGTCTTTTATGACATCTATTTTGTTTCTTCGTTCATTCCTGTCTTTTTAGTGGCCGTTTACTTTCCTCATATATGATGTCCTTGATGTTATAGCACAGCTCATCTAGTCTTCAGTTATTCGTGTCCATTCATTCTTGAGATGGTCTCTAAATTAAGGTGAGGTATACTCAAGGTCATTATTTAGCCCTCATGAGCGTTCTTAAAATTTCTTCAGCTTCAAATTGAATTTGCATATGACAATTGATGGTCTGTTCTACAGTTGATCCCTGACCTTGTACTGACTGATGATATTGAGCTTTTCCATCATCTCTTTCCACATATTTAGTTGATTTGTTTTCCTACATATTCTATCTGATGAGGTCCACCTGTATAGTCACCATTTATGTTTTGAAAAAAAGTGTTTTGCAATGAGTAGGTCATTGCTCTTGCAAAATTCTGTCATGCAATCTCTGGTGTTGTTTCTGTCACCAAAATTATATTTTCCAGTTATGTATCCTTTTTCTTTGTTTCTAACTTTCACATTCTAATGTTTAACAATTATCAATGCATCCTCATTGCATGTTTGGCCAGTTTCAGACTGTAGAAGTTAATACAAATCTTAAGTTTGTTCATCTTTGGAATTAGTGTTTGGTGTGTAAACTTAAATAATGTTTTTATTAAATGGTCTTCCTTTTAGATATTAATATTATCTGGTAGCGTAGTGGTTACGAATCGGACTGTGAACCGCAAGGTCAGCAGTTCGAAACTACCAGGTGTTCCGCAGGAGAAAGATGAGGCTTTCTGCTCCCGTAAAGATTTACAGCCTCAGAAACCCTGTACAGGGTCGCTATGAGTCAGAACTGATTCCACGGCACATATCAACAACAACATTATTCTATAAGACAGGGTTCTTACAGCATTGCACTTCAGGATAAATCTTGAAATGTTCTTTCTGACAATAAATGAGACACTATTTCTCTTTAGTTTATCATTCCCAGCATAGTAGATCATCTGATTTTCTGATTTAGAATGGTAGGTACTAGTTCGTTTCAGTCCATTTCAATTCATTAATGCTTAGGATAGAGTCCTGGTGTGGCACTATGGGCTAACACACTGGACCACAAGGTCAATTTGAACTGTAAGGCCAGCAGTTCAAACTCACCAGCACCTTCTTGCAAACCCTATACAGGGTCTCTGTGAGTTGAAACTGACTTGAAGGCACTTAATAATAATGCCTAGGATATTGATCTTTATGCATTACATTTCATTTTTGATGACTTCCAGTATTCTTGGATTCGTATTTTTACATACCACTTTTCAATTATTGTTGAATGTTTACAACTGTTTCTTCTCATATTGAGTCATGCCACATCATCAAATGAAGGTCCCAAAGTTTTTCTCCATCCATTTTTCTGAGGTTGACTAAACTTTGAATAGGCAGCTTTTCCCCAGGCGTATTTTGAGTGCCTTCCAACCTGAGGGGCTCATCTTTTGGTACTATATCAGACAAGGTTCTGCTGCTGTTCATAAGGTTTTCACTGGCCAATATTTTTGGGAAATATTGTTAAGTGCCATCGAATCAATTCGAGCTTGAACCTTGCAGTTCAAACAATTTTGCAGTCTGACGCCTTAGTCCACTGTGCCACACCAGGACTCCGTACTCGATGGCACTTAACAACAATAATATGCACACACCAAGATTTTATAAATCAAAATATTTTAACCTTTGTGTGTATATATATATATATATCTTTCTCTGATGTACACACACACACACACACACACACACACATGTATATATATGCTCATATACTATATATATATTTTTAATCTTTGTGTGTATATATATATATATATATCTTTCTCTGATGTACAGATATACATATACTCATAATACTATATATATGTACATCAGAGAAAGATATATATATAGATATAGATATATATACACACACACACACAAAGGTTAAAATATTTTGATTTACAAAATCTTGGTGTGTGCATATTGTTGTTGTTAAGTGCCATCGAGTCAGTTCTGACTCATCTCAACCCTGTATAATGTTTTCAAGAATCTTCTGGTGGGTTTGAACAACTCACCTTGTGGTTAGCTGCCCAGTGCTTATGCTATAGCACTACACCAGGACCCTAATAGAACTTTCTTAAAATGAACCATATTTGTGATGTAAAGTTTATGATTGTTATACACATGAATGATGTAACTGATGTTATTGAATTGTACATGTAAATAATGTTGAATTGTCAAATGTTATATGTATATTTTACACCAACTTCAAAAAGTCATACAAAGTGAAAATGACTCAGATTTGTTGGTTTAGGGTATCAAATATATTTTACCAGGACTCCTCTATATGGTAAATTTTATTTTCAAACATAGTATTTCTCAGTGAGTTTTCAACAGAAGTAACAGGCCTGAAGAATTCTAGTAGCTAGACTGTTGTTGTTGTTGTTAAGTGCCGTTGAGTCGGTTCCGACCCATAGCGACCCTGTATAGGGTTTCCGAGGGTGTAAATCTTTACGGGAGTAGAATAGTTTTAAACTTGGCCTGAAATTCTTTATGCCTAGTCTGTGAAATAATGTTCATTCTCAACATTTATCTTACGGAACAAAATATCCTTATTAAAATATGCTGAAATAATTATATTTTTGATTTTATAAGTAAAAAGAAGAATGTATTGGACTTTTTCATTCAGATTTTTAAAGAACGAGAAGAAGATCTGAGGCGTTTGTCTCGCCCACTGGAATGTTCTTGTTTCCGAACATCTATCTGGGATGAAACTCTCTATAAGGTGTGTTTATTTCCTTGAATTCCTTCATTTTAAGAACATGAATAAAAAGTTAGAAGGGTATTAAAACCTTTTTGTTGTGAATTGAGTGGAGGTTTACCTTCAAGATCATCAGTTTTGTATTCAGAAAATCACACACTTTGCTTCATCTCAATGATTGCAATCCACTCCATGCAACAACAGTTATCCTGCTTCCTCCCTGTGGTTCCTATTTCAATTCCATCCACTTTCCTACCCCTTTTCAACTTTGTCCTTAGATAAATGTTGTTTTGTTTTTTAAAGCTATTATTGTGAGTTGAGTGCTAGTTTACATGGGAGAACATCAGTTTTGTACCCATCCTATCATATTTCATTTTTCGTTTCATTGCAATGATTATAATCTCCTCCATGTATCATCATTCAATAGTATTTGCTTCTATTCCCTCTTTTTTTTTTGATGTACACAAAAACACTCAGGAATATATAATCTTTTAAACAATCAAATAGTACATTCTGCAAGTCTGCCTCCTGGCTACCAGCTGTACACAGCCTTTCTCTTTCCATGAATCTTGAGTCCTCAGCTGCTCTGTCTCTCCTTGCCATCATCTCTCCCTGCCCTTTTGATTTTTTAAAATGTTTTATTGTGAATTATATGATAGTTTACATGGGAGAACATTAGTTTTACATTCATTCTATTGTATATCGTTTCATTGCCATGGTTCCAATCCCCTCCATGCATCATCTACCAACGAAAGGGTATACACTGCAAGCCTGCCCCCTAAACTAACCCCCCCCCCAAGTCTTCAGCACACAGTTGCTCTCCCTGCCCTTTTGATTTTAAATGGTTGACATGGTAAGCATACAAACACTTATTAGTGTTATTGTTTCCTTTATCTACCTATCTACTGCTTGGCTGAAAATTGAGCCTCGAGGATGAGTTCCTTTCAGACCTGAAGGGTGGTTAAGGGCCATAATCTCCAGTCTTATTCTGATCAGTAAGCCTGGTCTTTTTTTATAATTTTGCAAAACTAAAAGATGTTAAACAACTTCATAGCCATCTAAATTTGTGAACTAAAATAGAAATTGTTGTTGCTGTATGTTGTTAAGCCAGTTCTGACTCATAGTGGCTGGATATAGGGTTTTTGAGAGTGGCTGGTAAGTTTGAACTGCCAATCTTGTGGTTAACACTCCAGTGCTTATCCTATAATTTTGTTGTTATTAAGTACTAGCGAGTTGAATCCGACCCATAGCGACCCTGTACAGTGTTTCCAAGAGCAGCTGGTGGGTTTCAATCACCAACCTTGTGGTTCACAAACAGTCCAATGCTGATCCTACAGCACCACACAGAAGTCCTATCCTATAATAGTCCACAATTAAGAGATTTTCTTTTTATCTTAGATCATAATGAATTAGCCAATTTGGTCACATTTAATTTTATACTTATCTTTATTACTTACCTGTTGTGGTCTTAATATGATTGAGACTAGTTCAGGTACCTCTATGGAATATGATCTAGTCTACCATAGTTTGGACTCCTGGTGTGGCTCTGTAGGGTGAACATTGGACTGCTAACTGCAAGGTTTCCAGGTCAAACCCACCAGCCACTTCTTGGAAACCCTATTCAAGATTTCAGAACCAACTTGATGGCACTTAAAAACAACAAAATCACCTAAGGTTGGAATAAGGGTGACAATGTTGTTGTGTGCCATCAAATCAGTATCAACTCATAGTGACCCTATGCACAAAAGAACAAAACACTCCCAGGTCCCACGCCAACCTCAAAATTATTACTACACTTGAGCCCATTGCTGCTGCCACTGTGCCAGTCCATCTTGTTTGGGGGGGGGGGGTTTCCTCATTTTTTATGACCTTCCATTTTACCAAGCATGATGTCCTTCACCAGGGACTGGTCCTTCCTGATAATATGTCCGAAATATGAGAGACAAAGTCTGGCCATCCTAGCTTCCAAGGAGCATTCTAGCTGTATTTCTTCCAGCAGAGATTTGTTTGTTCTTTGACAGTTCATGGTACTTTTAATATTCTCCTCCAACACCATAACTCAAATGCATCAATTTTTCTAGTCTTCTTTCTTTGTTGTCCAACATTCACATGCATATAAGGTTATTGAAAATGCCATGGCCTGGGTTAGGCACACATTAGGCCTCAAACTGACATCTTCTCCCTAGAACACTTTAATATACATACTTATGAAGATTGGTATCAGTTGCACTTCAGTGTAAAGAAAACAAACCTCACCACTAGGCCAATAAATAACATCAAGATAAATGGAGAATAGATTGAAGTTGTCAATATCTTCATTTTTTGTATCAACCATCAGCACTCATAGAAGAAGCAGTGAAAAAATCAAATGATGCATTGCATTAGGCAGATCTGCTGCCCAAGATCACTTTAAAATGTTCAAGATGTCAGTTTCAAGGTAGCAGTAGCAGAAAAATATTTCAGGAAGAGATTGGAGAATGGGCTCTTAGAATGAGGCATGTTATGCTTAGAGTATGGTAGCTTCAGGTTTCATGCTAAATTAAAGACCATTATTCTTTCAGTTAGATCAGTTGCTTTCATTGCTGGAATGGATAGCACATGGCTTACCAATTATTGTAGTGATTAAAACATTAGCTGTGTTATTCCTGAAGCTGAAATTACCATATTGGCACATACACTCATTTTCTGGTTTCCCCCATCATTTTCACTGACTCCTTTTGGTTCCTTCTGCATTCATACTTTTATTTCAGACTTCTAGTGTTATTAACAAGTCTGACCCTGGGTATAAAAGCATCCTTTTATATCACTGGTAGCTATATCCTTAGTATCAACTTCATCTGACAAGTATCTCCAACCAGAAGCATAAAAACTTGAGTTGACAAGGAGAAAAACCTACGTGAACATTGAAATAGTTATTGGTTTTTAAAATATTTAATTCATTTTTTCTCCATGTTATATTGACCCAGCCTCACTCTAATAAGAGATCATTTTGAAATGTCTGTTCTAGATTAATATGGGCTGGAATTTCTCTCAAAACCTTATTCCCATAGAACAGAACAGGTAACCATGGAAAAGGATGGACATGATACACTGATTAAAAACTAATTGTGGTGTGAAGGCTGGCAGTACATAACACAACCAAAGACAAATGGCTAATCACAACACTGCTGTGAGTGACAGTGGCTTTGCTATGGCTAACTTTGGTACCTTCTCCAATGTAAATTCAGCAGTGACACTAATATTGACCTATTCACTTGGAACATGAATTTCCGTGCCTAAGTAATAAAGTGAATTGGAACATAGATGTGACATTACTATCTCTTACATCAATGTTACATGGTGGTTATGGTAGTGGTGGTGTGCCATGGAGTCAGTTCCAACTCATAGCGACCCTGCATAAGGTTTCCAAGGCTGTAAATCTTTACAGGAGCAGAAAGCCTCATCTTTCTCCCATGTAATCACTGGTAGTTTCAAACTGCTGGCCTTGAGTTTAGCAGCTAGACTTGTAACCACTACAGTACCAGAGCTCTCTGTGTTACATAGAGATGCCTTAAATTTTTATATTAAGTTATATTCAACAAACACTCATTACATATTTGCTTAATGTTCTTTGGATATACAAATGACTAAGACCAGGTTCCTGCCCTGTAGTAGAGAAGACAAGAACAGCATACACTTAACCAGACAAATTGGAATGAAATTGAAGGAAGTTTAATAATGGAGATGCTAATAAAAGAACCGCAGGAGAAGAAAGGGAGGGGGTGGTCAATTTCAATTGTTTACATTAGTCATACTTCTCTGGTTGAAGTAGTCACTTTTACACAACACATGGGGAAATTGATTTTAATTCAATTAGATTAAATTTTGTATAACTGACAAAACTTTTGGAATGATAATGTCACTCTTGAAGTGGTATACTATCCTTTTCAAGGAATGGACATTGAGCCATGTGGTTCTGATATTTTCATAGTATTGATTCTTGGATGTTTATTACATGTAACTGATCTTCTAGAGTATTCTAACTATTAGGCTTAAATATTTTTTGAGTGGCTAGATTGGAAGAATATTGGTATAAGAGATCAGATTTTTACTTTTATTCCTAAGGCAACATTATGGAATTAAAGTGCTTGTTTACTTTTAATTATCATTGGAAAAAAGTTTCTCTAGCATTTTACAAAGTTTTTGAACTTAAAAAAATCCAACTGAAGAATTAAAATAAAATATTAGCTTCCTATTCTGATTTCATTTGTGTTACATTATACTGGCTCTTAGTATTTGTTTGGGACTCAATTATCACCATATTTGTTTATCCATATGTTATAGTGTATTTATTTGCAGAGGTCCAGGAATACCTCTCAGTAACATTACTCCATGCTTCTGTTCTGTTAGGCTTGGTCCAGCATTGTTTATCAGCTGATTCCCAATGTTCAACAGCTGGAAATGAACCTGAGGAATTTTGCTGAAATTATCGAGGCTGATGAAGTGCTTCTGTTTGAGAGAGCTACTTTTCTGGTGAGAACTATATGTTCTACAGATGTACTTCACACTGTACCTTCTATTCAGCAAAAGAACAGTGTGCTGCTACTTTTAAGAACCCTTATTGTCATTACTTTAGCATGCACAACTTTATGTAGAAAGTAGTGCAGGCAATTCCAGATTACAAATGACGCCTGTTCTTAAGTCTGTCTTGAAGTCTAATTTGCAACTTAGTCAGAGCAGGTGCATACAGTTCTAATTTAGCATCAGTTAGTCAAACGTTTGTTTTAATATATAGAACATAGTTTTACCTTTCTATGTTGCTATGACTCAGAATTGATTCCACAGCACATTACCATCACTACAACCATGCATATAAAATAGAGTCCTGATGTGGTACTGGACTGCAAGGTCAGCCTGATGTGGTGCTGAACTGCAAGGTCAACCATTCCTCAGAAATCCTATACAGGGTCATTATGGGTCAGAACCAACTCGAGGGCACTGCAGGATAATGCACTGGAGTACAAGTTCAGTTTTAACCACAAGGTTGGTGGTTCAAACCCACCTGGGTCACTATGAGTTGGAACCAACTTGACAGCACTTAACACCAACAATACATATTAAAAAAGAGTCTTGAGTTCCGGTTTGCCAGGGCGGCCAGGCGGCATGGGTAAGCGGGGGCTCCGGGATTGGAGTAGGGGAACTCGGGAGAAAAACCTTCCAGGGGCTACCCACACTCTTGCTGCCACCATAAATCTCAGTACATCAGAGCCTTAGACCCACTTTTTTGAGAAATCATTGTGCTGAGGAATTACAGGCTTCTTGAATTTCTCCCTGCCACTGCAGCCTGAGCTACTTTAGCTGGAGGGGCGGGGCGGGAACCAGCTTGTGTGAAGCCTCCAGTAGCGGGGAGACTCCAGCAGGGAGACAAGGAGAAGAGAGCATGAGGGACACCTGCCCCAGGGTGGGATTTCTGAACAGAGAGAAGTTAGTTTTAAAAAAAAGAAATAAAGGGAAAAAACAGGCAAGCAGGAGAAGAGGAGAAACAGCGACTATCTGACGTCATCAGGCATGGACTGTGCCTGCCCAGCCAAGCTGCCTCTGCCCTGCCCAGTTGTCCGCCTGCCCCACCGGGAGTGCGGGCAAGTGCCCCACCTTCCCTCCCATAGTCAAGCAGCATTTCCCGGCCCCGCTGGGCGTGCGCGGGCGAGCGGCTCCCCTCCCAGCCGAACTGCGTCCCACGGCCCCCCTCCCGCTGAGCCGAGCCGTGTTCCCCCCGGCCCTGCCAGCGCATGCGGGCGAGCGACTCCCTCCCGCCCAACCGAACTGCGTCCCACAGGCCCGCCAAGCGCGTGCAGGCAAGCGCCCCCCCTCCTGCCGCGTGCACCCGCTGGAGAACCCTATTTGGGTCTCCCCTTTATTTTTTTTATTTCTTTGTTTTTTAGAAGGTTCAGAAGGAGCCCCGGCGTGGCTCTGAGGGCTGGGGTGCCAGTACAAAGTCTTTTGAATTACAGGGTTGGTGATTCATGCCCACCAACCACTACTCAGAAAACCTATAAAAGGTCATTAGGAGAGGGATTTCCGGCGCTTTCCTGACCCAGAAGCACAGGCTAGCCCTCTGCCCAACATCCAAGGCTCAGGCCCAGGCCATCAAGGCACAAGCCAGCGCAAGTGGAGACGATTTGAGGTGGTTTTTACCACCAGCAATAAGGCAATCCTGCTGTGGTCCTGCGGGTTAAGGGACCAGACTGCAGAGCCTTCTGAACTGCAAAGTCGGTGGTTCGCGCCCACCAGCTACTCCTTAGAAACCCTATACAGGTTCTTTTTTTTTTTTTTTTTTTTTTTCCCGTATTTTCTTTT